AAGTTCCAGTCCAACACCATAACCACCATACCACACTAGACCTTGTTAAACAGAAGCACACGACGTGGCACCATAGTGTTGTTCAGTCCAGGCACTATTGACGGAGAAGATCGTGGCGCCTTTCCGCTTCCTTGTGATGTTTCTTTATCTGATACCAGACTTGAAGTGGATAGCTCTTCAAACAAAGGAACTTCCTGGGTAAAGGAGGACACAGGGTCTCATACTTTACCTGCAACTCGGATCAGCTTCAATTCTTCGAATCTCCAAGAAAGGTTGAGAAACCTATGTTTGAAATCCAGGAGATCTGCCACCGTTTAGTGAGGAAAGTTCTGAGCTAAGTGGGGCAAATATTCTGACTGGGAGGCACAGAATCCAGAATTTCCTAATCATTTTTTTACTGGAACACATTGGGCTGCCCTGCCACCCAGGTTGGGAAGTACCAGTCTAAATATTAGCTGAGGATACACACTGTTATCTTTGAATTTGTCAGGTAATGAGTGACACTTATATAAACACTTCATGAGCTTTGACACAGATAAGACACCATGTCTCCCCCTTTTAAAATCAGCAATTTGCCAAGACAGCAAAATTGTGTGTGCGCACACACATGCGCTCGCATGCTTGTGTGTGCCCTGCCTGTGCAATTAATATAGACACTATATAACTCAATAAATTAGATACGACAAGAGTAAGTTACTTCTATTTGCTGATTTAAACCAAACTTACCTTATGAGCATCTTGTGTTATACAAGATGGTTATATAACTCTTCTTCTTAAAAGGGGACAAGGAGCTGTAATGCTAACCTCAAGATGGGTTTGGGTTCCTACCGATTTAAATTTAACTACTGTTAAGGCTGTTCTGTATTATACAACACGCATACCTTTTCTGAAAAGGTAGACCTGACTCTGAAAATCCTTTTTGAAAAGAGCTGAGAGGATCCAAGAACAAGAAAAGCTGAGAACAAAGCTCACACCATGCTCAGACTGTGATGCTTGTCGAAGGCAGGTGCTTATTCTGTCAACTGATAGCGGTTTAGCAATAGATAAACACTTTATGTTGGATTTTGAGGTCTGGGTTTTGTGTCACAATGGATGTTCTTTGACACATTGTTAGGTTACTTTCCTCCTAGGAACTAAAAGCAACTATGCATCAGAAATGCAGCTTCTTACAAAAAGAAACTTGTAGGGAGTAGACTAGGCTATATTCTCTCTTTCCCTCTCTCTCTCTCTCCCCGCCCCCCTCTCTAAATACTTGCTTTGTACTTATAAGGAGTTTCTATATGGGAGAGCCATTCAAAACCGGCATCCTCCACACCCATAGTCCAAGACGTATACTCCAATCTGTCACCTCATTCTGTTGCACGTGTAGTGTGTGCTGAGTGTGCACATTCCCATATGAGTGTGCATTGCCCAGAGGAACAATATCTACATTTCCAAAACATGTAGGACAATAATAAATGTTTTTTGCTTTGGCACTCTGGACTCCCCTTGCCCTTCTTTGCGGCCCCATTTCCCTTCATAGCCTTATCCTTCACGCCTGTGTCTTCCCCTCCTTTTGATCCTCTGAACCTGCTGGTTGCATATGGCTGTTGGTAGCCTAATTTATGTATTTATTCAATCATTTAGCTTCCACCTGCCTCACCACCAAGAAAATGGCCTTCAAGGTAGCTAACAAACAGAAGAAGCAAAATTTAAAATAAAAAACTGGTTATAGTGAGAATCATAATAATAAGTTAAAACACAGTTTTAAAACAAAGCAAAGAGAAGATTTTTAAAAAATCACCAAACTGACAGACCAGCTTACAGACTAAAAACCTGCTTGAATTAAAAGGTCTCTGCCTTACAGTGGGCGATCAAGAGAGTGGGAGCCATGATAGTTTCTCTCATCAGGGCATTTCACAGCCGCACACGGCAGCAACAGCAATAGAATGGTCTCCCTGGAAGATCTTAAAACTTAGGCTGAGTTATAGCAGAGAAGATGTTCTCTTGGTAGCCTGGCTCTGAACCACATTTACAGGGAATAATCAGCACTTTAAACTGTACCCCAAAACAGAAATTGTGCCCTAGCTACCAGTGAATTTATTGTAACATGAAGGTTGCGGTCATAATCCAGGATTGTGCACAAGAGGAATGGAAGAAAAGCCCTCTGATAACTGATACTCCATGAGGAAGTTTGCTGTTCAATTTTTTAAAAGTTCCTGCACGAATCCAAGTTAAATCTCTGCATCTTGGCTTAGGAACAGATGGAAAGCTTCTGGTACAGAATAAGCATCCAGCTGTATGTTTTGCTCAAGCGTTTGCTAATTGCTAGTGTACACATAATATTGTTGGGTATGAAATTCGTTATAAATTAAAGCTCTACAATGAGGGATTCACATGTTTTATGAACAAAAAAATAAATCAACGCACTAAGAGAAATAGAAAGTTTAAACACTGGAAAATTACTTGGAATGCTCTATTGCGCAGGGTTGTTTTATTATGCTCCAGACAGGGTTTTAAACATGAACATATTAAGTGAGAGAAAGGAGGTAAAACTTTTGGATTGTTTGGGTGCTGGGGGCAAGAACCTGCTCTTCTTCCTTTGACTGTATACCTGCTTAAATTTTAACTGGACGTCCCTCTTTTGCCTCTGAATGGCAGCATAAGGTCAGAACAAAAATGCCCATGGGGCATGTCATAGCTGAGTGAGAACATGGAAACTGGGCAACTAGGACATTAATATTCGCTTGCATTTCCAACAATAAGTTCTCACCTGGTTTTCAGTCACATGTTCCAAGTTGTTGGGATGTAAGAACAAGAAAGAAAATATTAAGCTGAGAGCCCATGGAATCAGAAATAAAGAGGCGAGACTAAAAAATGAGAGTAAAGCACCAGCATTAGTTTGCAGAAGCACAAAGAAACAAGATGTTGGAAAGAAACCACCCTAACAAAGAACCTCTCCTAAAAGCTGAATGTGACGCTCAGTGGCCACAGAATGTTGGATGTTACTGAACAAAGAAAGAAGAAAATGGAGGGGAGGGGAAGCTGAGATTCGGAACAGGAGCAAGCAGAAGCTTGTCTGTTCAAGTCCCGCTACAAAAGGGCAGTCTGAAAAGATGCACCAAGTGCTCTGCTCATTGATGAATTTCCAAAGCATAGGATAGGTGTCACCTATAGGGGGTGACCCCTATCCTATGGGTGCTAATCCATCCTGACAATAATCTGTGGTAGACTGGCTATTGTCCAAACAAGCCACTGTGTGCCCAACAGACAGCACACAGAGTATTGTCTTCCTGCTACTTTTTTCTTGCTTCTCCTGCAAGCATCCCATGGCTGGTACCTTCCAGCATGATTACAAGCCCTTTTTCACTTGCTGTGGTCCCTTCCTTTATTTTTGTCCTTGGAGAATCTGTTTTTCCACATGAAAGACAGTTTTTGCAGTCTTCATTTTCATAGCCGGTGACAGCCCCAGCCAAGTGACAGAGCAGCATATTGAAGGGGATGTCAATGACTAGCAACCCCTTTTTATAGAGAAATGTGCCCATAATATGCAGAAATACTTTCATAATTTTAAAATCATTTTAGGTGCACTTATGCAAGTTTGCACCCACCTATTTTGGGAGTGGGAGGGCTGAAAGTGTAGCGGGTGCTAACCCAGAGAACCTCCAGATGTGTTTTCCCCTTTGCTTTCTCTTGACAGCTGTCAAAAAGTGACTTTTCAAGGGAAATCATAGTTACAATGGGCCTTTCCTCATGAAAGAGTGTAGTGTGACATCTTCCTCTCTTTCCTTGTTGTCCTGCCTCTCCTCAGGGTCCTAGGCATTTTGCACCTGCCAGCTCTAACTCTATCTGCTTAGGAAAGTGCAAAAATGCTTCCTATCACATATAGAAGAGAAGAATAAAGCTGTCAAAACTCAGGATCCCTTTGAAGTGAAGCTTTGATTGGGAATTCTTTGTTGTTTTTGACTGTGACATATACAGATTCCATAGCACATAAAACTATTCTGCTGGAAGGGGTTGGAGTCTGAATGACACAACAACCCATCATGGCTAATTACCCAACATCAGAGAGTTGCCTTCTTGTCTCCAGCACACCCTTCCCCACCCAAGTGCTGTCCAGAGATGTTGGACTACAGGTTCCATTATGCTGGGAGCATGATCATCAGGGTGCAACCTGGAAGTTGTAGCTCAATACATGTGGGGAGCATCTGGGCTGGGGAAGGCTGCTGTTGTCAATGAAAAGATGTTTCTCTCTTCCTATGCTACATGGTCTACAAGCCACTTTTCCTGTGGCCGCAGAGTTTGCAACCAACTACAGAAGAGGCAAATTGAAAGCACGTTGGGTGGTGATGGATGTCACTGTTATTTCAGGCTCTCTCCCCTTCTTCTTGGAAGTCCCTCGGCAATTCCTTGGCTCAGCACTAAACTAAAATGCAAGGTCCTTCAGCAAAATGATCTCTGTAGATGAATCACAGGGATAGTTCACTCATTCACACCGAACACTTGAAGCATTTGTCACCATCATGTGATCCCTTAGTTGTGTGCATGGACAGACCATTACGAATATAGCAAACCCCTGGTACAATGTTCATATTTGTTCTCACAGCACAAATGCTTTCCAGCAGAGCCAATCTATACATTTGCCACTGAGGTCAACAAGTGTACACTACAGTAATCAAGTGCAAAGCACTTACCAAATCACTAGTTGTCTCTGGGAATCTTGCTGGTGTGTGCCCTTCTAGTGACTTTTGTTTGTTTCTGCAGAAAGGAGGACAGTCCACACTTGGCTGCTTTAGAATAGAGCTGTGAGACAGAATTCATTTAGAGTTCCATACCTACCTGGGCAAAGTAGCACTGTGAAATGCTGCCTTAGGCTATCACACATTTCTTTCTTCATGTGTTCACTGGATTCCTTTGCAAATGTTCTAATTCCTTGTTTTGTTTTTTTAACAAAATGATTTGTAGCTTTCATATTCATTTTGTGTGATTCTTCCCCCTCCCCTCCAGATTTGTTGGTGGGAATGTTTAAATACTTTCGGAAGCATTTCATCCATCACCTGAGAGAACGCAAGAGACAAAGGTCACGGCTGGTGTCCAAGGATGGAAGGTGTAACATAGAGTTTGGGAATGTGGAAGAACAGTCAAGGTTTATTTTCTTGGTTGACATCTGGACCACTATCCTTGACCTAAGGTGGAGGTACAAAATGACTATCTTCATCTCTGCTTTTTTAGGCAGCTGGTTCTTTTTTGGCCTTCTTTGGTATGCAGTGGCATACATACACCAGGATCTGCCAGAGTTCAGTCCATCAATGAATCATACGCCATGTGTGGACAATATAAATGGCTTGACTTCTGCCTTCCTCTTCTCTCTAGAGACCCAGGTGACCATTGGCTATGGGTTTAGGTGTGTTACAGAACAGTGTGCCACTGCCATTTTCTTGCTGATCTTCCAGTCTATCCTAGGAGTCATCATCAACTCTTTTATGTGTGGGGCTATCTTGGCCAAAATCTCCAGGTCGAAAAAGAGGGCCAAAACCATCACTTTCAGCAAGAATGCTGTCATCAGCAAGCGTGGTGGAAAACTGTGTCTTCTCATCAGGGTGGCCAATCTCAGGAAAAGCCTTTTGATTGGGAGCCATATCTATGGCAAGCTTTTGAAAACCACCATCACGCCAGAAGGAGAAACAATAATTTTGGATCAAGTCAACATAGACTTTGTTGTTGATGCTGGCAACGAGAACCTCTTCTTCATTTCTCCCTTGACGATATACCATATCATTGACAAGCATAGCCCATTCTTTCACATGACGGCAGACACCATTCACCAACAAGACTTTGAGCTGGTGGTCTTCCTAGATGGAACTGTGGAATCAACCAGTGCAACTTGCCAAGTCAGGACATCTTACATTGCTGAGGAGGTTCTCTGGGGCTATCGTTTTTCTCCTATTGTCTCCAAAACCAAAGAAGGGAAGTATAGGGTGGACTTCCACAACTTTGGCAAAACCATGGAGGTAGAAACCCCCCACTGTGCCTTCTGCCTCTACAATGAGAGAGATGCTAAAGCCAAGGTCAGGATGGGATATGACAACCCTGCCTTCACATATCAAGAATTTAATGAAACCAGTGACACAAAAATGTAACTTAAGGTGCTTGTGGGACCAGAGTACTTATTTTTGATATCCATCCAGGAACTCATGCCAAACAACAACAGCGACAAGAAGTAATTATATTCGGAGTACAGAAGGGAAAAAATGAACTGGGTTGTCTAGATACTAAAATGATCTTAATCTAATCAGAGCAGCAATTTCCAGGATGCTGCTAATTACATCATGTTATATTTACAGAACGCACATATTTTGCTATATTTGCTGGACCTTTTCTTAAATTGGTAGACTGACACATCCAATATTATGCTTTAGAATTTCTACAACTAAAAGAACTAGATTCCATCATTTGCCAGCAAAAGGAAGGCAATGTGATGTGTGTATTTTTAAAGGCAAAGTTAATGTTGGGAATGATTAGCAAATGGATTGAAAATTAAACAGCCATCATAATGTTATCATGTATAACTAGTTATTTCTTCATTTATGATGCTTAGTAAATAGAGTAAGTTCTGATTATCCCATGTCAAATAGGACAAGAAAGACAGTGTGGCATCATTCTCTAAGTGGTGGGCTGGGACTCTGGAGGTCCAGGTTCCAACCCCCACATGGCCATGAAGCTCATTGGATGGCTTTGGGTCAGTCACAAACTCTCTGCCTAACCCACTTTGCAGTAGTGTTCTGAGGATAAAAGCAGGAGGAGCACTATGTAAATTGTATTGGGTTCTTTCAGGGAAAAGGTGGGATAGAAAAATAATGAATGAATGAAAGAGAATGAAATTTTCTGTATTTGCCTACAGAAAATAGGCAACTAGAATTAACAGGAAGCATGAACTTTTCCTAGAAATAAAAACCAAAGTAAACTTTCTGCTGATCACACATAGTTATTTGTTGTATAAGTGGGCACACTCCAGGAGGGGGAGAATAAACTTTCCCTCACCTATTCCCCCCTCCATTTCCAAACACATTTGGCTGAGTACTAAAGTATTTGTGGGACCTTTTAATGTAGCAAACTCACAAGGAAGTTGTGAAGGGGTACGATGAGGAGGAACCTGGTTTATATACCAAATATGAGCATTTGTCTGTGTAATCCAGTACTGATCGGTCTTCTAGGTCTTCAGGCAGAAAGAGGTATTTCCAATAACCTGTACTTGAGCCTTTGCAGTCCTGGAGATGCTGGTCATAAATGGCCAGGAAGGCCCTTCTGTCTGAAAGTGTGAGCCCTACACCCTGGTTGCTCCTCTATACATTTTATTTTTACAGGGCTGTAAGATTATGAACCTCACAAGATCCCTGCCAGGAAACAAACACAGATCAACTTAATCTTGCATGGAATGCAGGGAATAGAAGTTTCAGGAACCCGGCCTTCATCTCTGGACCAACCCTTGTGAAGAATCATTATGGAAGCCTTACATCAGATATCTGACTAAGCTGAATCACAATACAATCACTGTTGAGACCATAACCAGGGCTGTTCCAAGGAGGCACTCCCTGGAAAGCCTTGCAACCAGGCCTTCAGCATTTAATTGGCACAGCTGAAGAGGATGGGCTACAGTTAGGACATAATTGGGGTGGAGCCAATCATGTTAACAGGAGTCATACATGGACTATGGTGACAAGGCAGGAGCACTTGGATGCTGCAAAGAGCATCTTCTTTTACAGAACCTCTAAAATGTCCCCTTCTTTCCTTCCTTCCCTCCCCCAGTGAGGTGACAGAATATATATCAGTCCTAAACACATAGACATTTGGTCCTTGTCTATGTTGTGGGGATATGGGAAGTTGATCTGAGAACCATATTCAAAACTGTGTGGGAGAAGAGGGCAGGTATGCAAATAGCTGAAACATCTAACAGAAAGACAAAAGCTGTCAGACTGCAAAACGATTCATACCATCCTCTCTAGTTTTGCGTATTTAAACTATTTTGCATGTAATAAGTGAAAAGGCATCCACAATACAATCACTGTTCAGACCATAAGCAGGACTGTTCCAAAGAGTCACTCCCTGGAAGTCCTTGAAACCAGGCCTTTAATTGGCATGGACCCAGGAGATGGGCTGCAGTTAGAACATAACTGAGGTAGAGCCGAATTAACAGAAGTCATACATGGACTATGATAACAAGGCAGGAGCACCTGGATGCTGCAAGAGCTGACTGGACTCCCCAAGTCTGGAATTTATTCTTTTACAAAACCTCTGAAATGCTCCCTTCCTTCCTTCCTTCCTTCCTTCCTTCCCTCCCCCAGTGAGATGACTGAATAAATATCAGTCCTAAACACATAGAGATTTAGTCGTTGGCTACGTTGTGGGCATATGGGAAGATGAACTGAGAACCGTATTCAAAACTGTGTGGGAAATGGGCAGCGATGCAAATTGCCAAAATGTTTAACAGGAAGACAAGAGCGGCTAGGCTGCACTACGATCAATACCATCCTCTCTACTTTTGCGTATTTAATCTGCGTTGCATGTAATAAGGCACCGCCTACTTACCTCTGGTGGGTGTTACCATGACCATACTAATGAGATTAGTAAAATGCCAAGAAAACCCTTTGAAAACTAGGAGATGAATGCTTAAGGCAGGGGTGAACCTCTCCTAATAACATTTGGTATTGCTTCCCCAAATCCTCCCTTCCTTATTGCGAAGTCATTTTTCTGCTTTAGATGTGAAGTTTGCAGATATGGCTTGGCAAAACAGCTTGGTGTGTCATTTCCTCTCCCACCTCGCTAGCAAATGAAGCAATGAATAGGCATGCAACGACTTAGGAAAATACATCCAATGAAATATCAGGGGGTGGTACAGACTCTCTCCACAAATTACACACAGCATCATGGCACATGCCAACTATTTCACCCTTTCTCACACACACACATGCACACACACACACGCGCGCGCGCGCACGCACGCAGATAGAGAGAGAGAGAGAGAGAAGTCTTACCATACAGAGTATTTTACTGCAAAAGAGGTCTCCTTTGAAGTCTCCTTTGAGGTCAAATAGGGTTACAGCCCTATTTCTGAAGTCATAATTCTTGGCATAAATTCACAAATTCAGATCTTTTTTAAAAAAACAACACCCTGCTTTATAAAACCACAACCACTGAGCAGGTTTTACCAGCTGTACCTCAGAATTCTCCAACCTGTATCAGGAGGGTGCCAGCCTGAAGAAGGCTGTGGAGCACATTAGGACTTGCTAATCTCATATTCCAAGGCCTCGAACCCTTCAAGACTCAGATGGGACCTCCCAGAAAATGCTGCACTATCTCTCTCCCAACAGGAAGTATTTCCCTGAAAAGTTTCCAGACAGGTACTGCCCGCAGGTGAGGCATTCCGCTCTTACACCCATCTCCTGGTGTTTTGTTTTTCTCTTCCACATGTAACTCCATTCATTCCATGGACTTTTTAATATGAGGCATTTATTGATCAGAATTCCTTACTCGTGATTGTTGACATGTTCATTTAATGGCACTCTGAATCTTAAGTTTCACTTCTGGTTTTTCAAGTGTTTTCCCTTTTCTATATAATGGAGGGAATTGTGCTCCATTGCCCGGTGTGATTGTGCTCTTTTGTTATAGCACAGCCACATCTAGAGGTTGTATAGTAGAAAAGCAGGAAAGGAAGAGCTCTTTGTTTATGCAGCAATTGACAACATGATTGCTGGGTTCACACGGCTTGACAATCATCCCAGTGTGGTTTCCATGGTGTGCACAGTTTTGCCTGACAGATAAATCAGTGGCTTCTATGCTAGTTAGGTTTCCACCCATCTTGCTCAGTTCTCCCACTGTTGGCATGTATCCCATCAGCCACAGTGCCTGAAATTCAATCTTTTGCTGGATGGCTGGAGCAGCTCTGCAGCTGCCACTCATTCCAGAGGACTCTGTGGTAGCTGCATACCAGGAAACTGTGGTGTCCGGCTTGGATGACCACAGAAACCATGGCGAGGCATGGAAATCATAACACAGAACATTGTTTCTTATTGTGGATTCTAAAAAGCCAGAGTACCATGTTGAAATACTACAATAAGGTTCAGACAACTTGACAGACAGTGCTGTGCAAGAAACCATGTTGGTTGTGTGTTTTGTGGAAACCAGACCAACAGATCCCTTGTGTAGAAAAGAGCTATGTCGACTGAGTATTCACAGTCCTTATGCTGTTTGGGTGGGCAATGGAGATACACGTGTTGTTGTTCTTGTTGTTGTTTTAAGATATTTCAGCAAGCCGTGGAACTTTCACACTTACTGATATTTCTCTTCTGTTTCTCTGTGATTCCATTTTGTCCACAATCCCAGGGGCACTTACAACATGAATATACTAATAGAAGGAGATATTGCTTTGTTCTCATATACAAGATGTATTTATTCAGGGACAGGGAAGGTGTAGCTCTCCAGAAATTTTTGGTCTGCAAATCCCAAATTTGTGCAGGGCCAAATTTGTGCATTTCCTTTATGAGCAGGTATGTACAAAGGACATTCAGAGGTTCATTTTGGTAGCTTCCTTTGAGGGCTCCTGTGCAATGCAAGACAATTTGCTTGCTGATGTCGTAACATGACAACTGAACTCAAATTGACCTGGCCAGCTTTAGCAAAGCCAGTCTTTGGCTTGGCATCTCATCCACAATATACAGATAAGAATTATTGGCTTACCTTACAGGGCTGTTGTAAGGTACGTTGAGATTATGTATGTGGAGAACTTCAAAAAGCTGCAATGCCCTAACCGAACATCATGCATGATATTTAAGCAGACATGGTAGAACACATGGTAATAGCAGTTACCCTCACACCCTCCACTTCCCCTAACACCTCTGCCCATTCGCAAAGCATTGAAATTGCGATGATTTCCTTTCCTTTCCTTTCCTTTCCTTTCCTTTCCTTTCCTTTCCTTTCCTTTTTCTTCCCCCACTTCACTCCTAGGAATCAGCATAGGAATCCTATGGGGTCACCTGTCCCTGCACCCCCTACACACTTCAGTTCAGCCCAATTCAGTGTCAATGCACGTGCAAATGAAATAGCACCCTTCATACACAAGAGGGCAGCATTAGCATGCTTGTGA